TGTTTATCCGTTCACTGGGCATTTGGCTCAGCCGTGTTTTCTTCTATTCCTCACAGCAGGTAATCAAGGGGGCGGCTAAGTCTTGTGACAGAGAGTAGACCAGGATCTTGGTTTCAAGGTTTCGAGAGGTTTAGAACTATGTTATTTCGCTTATTAGAATCTTTTTCTTTTTGGCTATTAGATTAGATTTCTTTGGTTGTTTTTAGCTTTTCTTGGAAATAGTTTGTTTGGAGACCTTTATATCTTATTTGAGGTTATATTCAATTTCGTTATGGAAGATTTTATTTTGTATTGGAGACTATATTTTGGAGGTTTTATATAGCGTTCCGTTACGTTTTGAAGTAACCTCCCTTCCTTCGGAATGGGGGTGTTACAAGGGGGATGTTCAATCGAGGAGTAGGAGACATGGGTTATCGATGGGAGCAGTGGGGGATGAGGATCGTTGATCAGAACAATGGTGGAGGAGGGTTGAGAAAGGTCATCGTAGGGATCAAAGTTACAGGTGAAAACGGACGGGGAAGGAAAAAAAGGTGACATGGCTGGAGGTGGGGAGACGTGAGTTTTGCAGATTCGTCGGAAGGTCACCAGAGTTGCAGGTTCATCGAAGTTTCGTCGGGAGAAAAACCGACGACGACAAGAAACAAAATGATTTTTATTTGTGTTGGGGCCTCCAAGTTGTAATATATTCATTTTGCCCCTGGTTTAAAAAAAGTTAATTAAAAAATTGCTGTAAAAAAATGGAAAATGGAAAAAGACCTTTATGCCCTTATTATTAACGGACCTGGTAGACGGTCGTTAGGTCGAAGGACCAAATCTAACAGAAAATGCATACCATAGGCACCAAAACCATGATAAATGAACCCTAGGGACGATTTCCATAAAAATAGCAAACCATAGGGACCATTACTATAATTATTGAAACCGCAATTCCCACCTCTATGTTGCTTATGACCGGTAACTGCTATTGGACCGCAATTAACAACATTACCATAATTTTTTAGATCTATAAGATTTGATTTGGTGGATAATACTAAGGGTACACTATGCTAATATGCCTTAAGGGTGCGTTTGGTATGCAGACTACATGGGATAAGACGGGACAAAAAAAACAGTCTCATGTTTGGCATGTCATGGAAAAAAAACATGGGCAAGGTTGGACTATTTTTAATTTTAGTGGGACAAATCTTGATATTTTTGGTTCCATCAAAAAATGTGAAACAACATGGGACTAAAGTTAAAATGACAATATTTTGATTGATTTGTTGTCATTTTACAATCATTATATGATATAAAATAACATTGAACAACATTTAAGGGTAATATGGTCATTTTAATAGGTATGTCCTGTCATGTCTTGTCCTAGTCGTACCAAACATAGGATATACAATTAGTCATGTCCCGTCCTGTCCTGTCACGTCTCGTCCTGTCCCATTTAGTCTGTATACCAAATACTACCTAAATGATCCATATATCAGGGTTAGACGCTGATGAGCACATTGAACTTTCAACGTGGCATCGAGCTCTTACAACCCATACACAATGACACAATTCTCAGGGGCGTGGTTTACCCACTGGGCTAATAGCCCGCTGTGCGATGGGGGTGCACCATGCCAAAAGCGAGAGAAACCCTATCCATCTTTTTTCTTTTTATGCTCTCATGCTTTTCGTCACTGGATAGAATGGAAAGGCAAATAAATGTTTATTATTTTCCGTCTATAAATATCCAAATTTTGATGCCTAATATCCATAAATCATTCGAACTGTATAGGAACAATAATCCGTTTTAGCCTGAATGGGTTGTAGTGGAATCATACCCTCTCTGATCCATTCAACACATGCAAATTTCTTTTCCGTCAATATGTTCTACAATTTGCACTTGAATTCCTTTTGTACCTACTTGTTCAATTAATTCCATAGCCTTCTTCGTTGTTTTGAGAAAATAAACTCGATTTTTTAATTGGTCAGATAATTTTCGGTTGTAAATTTTGCAAGAATAAGTAGGATCTCTTGTAAAATAGGAGCAACGCCAAACCCTCTAAATCGCAAACCTGCATTCTCCTACCCGTTGTCCCCCTTTTTTGGCTCTTCCTTTATGGGGTTGTTGTGTAAGACGTGAATAACACCTGCTCGAACGTCCATGAATTTTATCATCAACTTGATGCCCATCGTTCACCATTTGTTAGAAAAAGAAGTCAGAGGTACCAATATGACCAAACCCTAAAACCTCGAGTACTGACCTGCAACTAATTGGATTCTTTAACCAGGGTCAATAGTGAATTAGTGATGCCTATTGAAAACAGTTGGAAGGGATTCGAGAACTGCAGCTTTTCCTCTTCACCTTGAAAAGCCGGATCTCTATGCTGCTACTGTCCATGAAAGAGTGAGTTGATTTCCTATCATTGTTCTTCGTCTTGCCAATTGCAGAATCTATACGGAAGACTTCTTTAACTGTAAGGTATCTGGCCTGTAATTGCATGACAAATTGTAGACATGTTGCACATCAGGTGTTCGATGAAATGCCTCACTAATATTGGTAAGTAATTACAGGAAATTTTGAAACATTCCCGTTTTTTGATCAATCATCCGAGATGAGCAGACTCTACGATGGGTGGAATGAAATTTTAAAGATTCAGAAGTTCCGGAGAACGGTGGGATACACGATATTCTTTTCTTTCTCGGCGCTCATTAGCTACGCATACAACTCCAATACGTACGTATACTGTTATTGATTGCATACACAACCCCGAGTTGGTGTCTGATGAATTTATTATTATATTGATAAGCTATAAGATCATGACAAACAACCAGTTCGTTTGAAAAAGAAATCATACTTCCCCAATGCTTACAAACCAATCGTCTAAAGTTGTTATGAAAATTTTGGGTTTTTTAAATTTCTCTTTCCCTCTTCATTTAATTATTGCAGTACAAGAGCTGGGTACTCCAGAGGTGATCAGTTTTATGCATCATATCCTGCTGGGAGTGAGCTTTTGACTGATACTACTAAGGTCAGTGGTATTTCATTATTTTGCAATGAATTGTTTGTTGTTGGAGTTCAGGAGAGGACTGAGCTCTCGGTTTGTGATTAGTTGTATAAATCTGCTCTTGGGAATTGCTTCGAAGAGGAAGAATGGGGGCCGATCGAATGGTCTGTAATGTCTAAGCATTTTGAGCGTCAAGGGAAATCACCATACGCATATCATGCGGTAAGTTACCTGGACTGCACACTTACCCTTCTTTCTCTAATTTTTTTTCACGGAAAAAACCAAAGCATCTATTGGGATTCTCTTTCATGTCTCTGATTGTCAGGATTGTTTCCCCCCTCATACATGTAAAAACATGATCAAAATGGCCTGAGGTGGGGATTGAAACGTAGCGTGTTAGGATTATAGTGTAGTGGCAGCCAAGTTTTACATGTAAACGATAACAAACTTAGAGATGATAGACATTTTAATGGAGGAAGGGATCGGTTTAAAATGTAAATGTGTTGGTTGCAGGTGTTTGTAAACTGTTAAAAGTTTAGCTGATTTGGGACGAGCCATAGACTTTGTGAAGCTACATTAAGGGGTTAAAAGGGATTAAACAAATCAGTAGATGTTAACGTCATGTTCATTCATGACATTAGGCATGCACATGCAATAAAGATAACGGTAAACATGGATGCTGTAAAATGGCAAAACTCTAAACATCCAGAAGCTGATTGAATTAAACAAGGATGCTGTCAAAAATTGCTGGCGACTTCATACTTGTAATTATTGAATGCCTGTCTAGCATCAAGAATCACTCTCAAATAGTCAAAATCCATTTGGATTGGAAAAAATGGACTTCACATCAAGGCTCTTCAGTCTTCTCAGTAAACATCAGAAATTGTGTAAATTCTACAAATGTTCGTTGATTATCATGATTGATATTCTTCCTTGCAAATTGTTGTAGGGATTACAATGGGATGGGGTCATTCCTGATTATCTGCCTCACACCCTTTATGTGTCCCATAGTATATGGAAATGCAAATGAACCATTAAGATCAGTATACAGAGGTTTAGTTGGACATGTGTACAGAAATCACCTAAACCCATTTGACTTCTTAATGAATAACTGCTTGCTGTAACATCCCTTTGCACTAGATCCAAATCCTCAAATGAGTATGATCAACACATACATGATAATAGTTGCAGGAAACGATTTTTTTACATAGTTTAGCAATGTCTACTTACTCGATTGTTGCTAAAATTCTTTTTGTACCTTGTGAATTTTCCGTAGTAAACATTCATATGAGGAGGGGGTGCCCATCTCCTATTATTAAGATGAAAACTTAATAGTAAATGGGTAAGACAGGAGATCTTTATCATGATTATCGTAACCATTCTTCTACAAAAATTGGATCGGAGAAGTTGTAGTCATGTTTATAATCCATATCCAACAATGAATCGACTTCAGATTGCATATAAGTTTGCAAATGACTTGCTTTTAGAACTATTTGGCCAACTTTGGGATCAAGTAACAGGAGCAGAAATAACATATTTGTGTTTTTGCAGCAATACCAGGCACACCTTGCCTCTAATGGACATCTTGATGGAAGTGGATAATGGAAGGATATGAATCCAGAATGAGTCCGAGACGGAAAGATGTATTAATAAACATTTGCAAATGGATAACAGTTCTGAAGAAGTCAGAAGCTTATGAGCGTTTGATGAGTTCAAATCCATCAGTGGTATTATGTGATGATCTACTTGAATGAATTTGTTGTTTTCATGGGTCACTTTTTTATTTCAATAATATCGCATTGAAAGACTTGGAAAGGATGTCATCTTCGGATTAATGTAGCACTAAGAAACATTCTTGAAATATATGGAAACATTCAATGATCAGTGGAAAAGGAGACACGGTTGCTTTTGTAACATACAAAGAGAGTTATTTTTTATATTCCAAGTTATTTAACATTGTCATCTAACTTATTAACTGGTTTTAATTCTTGCAAGTAAATTTTTTTTTGTATGAAAGGTGCATCCGTAAACTTTGAAGGGTGATCGAGGATACTAGAGCATTTTCAATAGATTCTTCAAAATGCAGAAGTAAAAAACCAAAAAATTACCATCATCTTCGACAGATTCTCTATTTTGGAGATTACATGATTAATTATATTATTAAAATATTCAATACAACTTATAAAAGATAATTTTTCTCTCATAAGTAACCATTTTTGGAGAAATATCCAAATTTTTTTACTTCAACAGATTTTATTATATATTGAAATATTTTAACAACCATCCAAATCATTTCGAAGCTTTGTTTTTCCTTCATTGCCCTTTAGTTTCTCTCGATCTACATCTCTGGTGTCCTCTATCCGTCTCTTAACTTTATCTCATGCAACTTATCTCTAGCTTCAAGTCATCTCTACTCCTCGTTAGAGTTGCATGTATCAATTGACACCAATGAGGTATTGTTAGAGATGAACCGGCATCAATGGAGCTATCAATCGCTATTGCAAGTATCAATCAATATCTCGGTTTAGATGCTTCCAGATGGGAAGATAATTCATGTGTTCCTTGAGAACTAGGGTTTCAATAAAATTTGTTTCAGTCGAATGGTTTAGATGTGTTTGCTTTTTCGGTCCTTATTGTTTGATAAAATGTCTCAATAACATATTTACTAATTGTTCAATAAAAGTTTCCAACAAGTTTTTTGGTGTTTTTCCATGGGCACAAGTAAATTTGTTGAAAAACATGTATATTTTACTTGTATTCTTAGACACTTGTAAGCATAATGAGCTACGTATTTTGGTTTCTTCAAGATTGTGTTCAACATCAACTATAGGGGGTGTTAGAGATAGTTTATTTTATCATTCTCTACAAAAGTCTTTATCAACTTATTATAAGTTAGAATAGTTTAACTTAAAAAACTCTTTGTTATCGGTTTGGCACCGATATAAGCTATTTATCCAAACCCTCAAAAGTGTTTATTATCGATGTAACACCAGAATAAATCAGTAAGTGGTTTTTATAAGCAATCTCAAACAACCCCAACCCCTAAGGCATGTTAGATTAGACCTGCAATTCTGCGTTTTGATGAAATTCAAGATCGTTGTATGGTTCATGATGTTACGACTCTACGACTCTACTTCGATTATGCAAATGGAAAAAACCTTGACTTTCACCACAAATCTTCCTTAAAGGCTTGCTTACTGAATAAGTCCATAAATATTGAACACTATGAAAAATCCATCTTCCGACTTCAAAAACAATTAGCAAAAGGGATAAAACATGATTGCATTATTTTAAAATACCAGAAGTTGCATCTCTGAATTCAAAATAATTGTTTTAAATTTCTTAATTCAAATCCCTTTCAAAATTCATAAATCCAAAGAACAAACCTCTTAAATGTAATGGCTAATGGAGGCGGGAATGAGAAGAAAGATTTGAACCAGAAATCGAATAAGAAAAGCACAACCAAAGAGTTGCAACTTTTCAACGAATCCAGATTCAAAAAAGCACAAAACCCGTACTATGATGCCATCATTTACGTTCATCTCACACAAATTAACAATAATCATGTGAAATAAACGATAAAATCGATGTGAAGGGCGGTCGAATGAGAGGGCACCCTGCAGAAAACCTGCAGGTATTTCAGAGCCATTGATGTAGAACTCTCCCCTGTTTTTGACATTCGTGCCCATTTCATACAATCAAGATTGATTTTTAGATCTCAAACAGAAAAACTCGTATACCGTCGGATCTTGAAGACTTATCCTATGTTATGATGTTTACGGGTGAATCAGACAAAAAGAAATCTAGGGTTTATGGTTGCTTTACAATCAAACCCAAACGAAACCCTAGATTGAATTGAAGGGGACTTTATTTTTGGATTGCTTGTGTTTGTTTTATATAGGGCGACTCGGCGTTGAGTTTAGGTTAAATTTTGGGCTTTTTTATTGGCTCCAACCATAGGGGGCAAAATGGCAATCGTGTTATATTTTTGTTTGGATATTGAATTAATTACTGCACATCTATACTACCTTATAAATCAGATTTATCAAAAGTCTTACAAATAATTTTTAATGCACAAAATACTATACATTTATGCACAAAGTCTTAAAAACAACTCGTAATGCATTAAGTACTACTACGTTTTTTATTCAGTTTTAAAATCTCTTAATCTACAATTAAAATAACATATAGTGCAAGTTACCAATGCACGTTATTACATTTTCTTTTCATGTTCCCAAGATACTTTTGACACCTTTTAATCATGCATTCACTCTCTCATACCTTTATGTCTTCTCCTCATTCCTCAATGTGATATTCAAATTAATATTCACCATGAATTATTAAAAGTTTTCTCATTCATCTCTCATTCAATTGCTCTTGAACTATCGGTCTTGCTTTTGATCTCTTTATTCTTTGCTCTTGGTGTAAATCAAATACATTTGTGGAGTCGTTTAAATATGTTGGATTTTATATATATCGGATTTTAAACTGTCATTCAATTTTTTTTATCGATAGACTATAATTAGAACTATAACTCTTATTTATTCAAACTATATTAATATGTAAAGACCAAGTGTAACTTATATCATCATTAAATATTCTCTAATAAAACCAGTGAAACTTCAAAATCGTTAAAATTCACGGCTCCCGCCGCATTGCACGGGTACGCAACTAGTTTGTATTAAGAGTGCATTTGTTTACTTCTTAATAATTTCATTAAGAGACGCCTCTAAATCACTAATAGTAGAATTGTGTTTGACAAAAACACAGTGCGTCTCTTGATGGTTTTAAAATCATCTAAATGATTTTGTATCTTGAGCCTCTCTTAACCATCTAATACCCTAATTTTATTCTCAATAATTACTAAACAATTATATTTCATTTTGCACCATATCATGAGACCTATTAATCATTTTATACCAAACCATTCAATAACTGTCAACTAGCACCTTATTCTTCCATTCTTTCTCCTATGTATGTATATCTACCAAAATTGTCCAAGATGGTTATTTTAGACCTTTCCCACTCAGGAAAAAAAATATATCATTTTGTAATTGTTTTTTACTCAATTAATTGAAATGGTCCGGATTTCACAAATAGCAATTTAATAACTTGTGTAATCTATTACGTACGTAACACCCTGATGCTAAAACTGATCTAATAACTTCTTATTCAACTTAAAAACCTTGGTGAAAAATATTTGAAGCCCACAACTTAAGTCTTATAAAGAGTTCACAGATCTTATTTTCTTTCTACGAGGGACGAGTTGTTACAAACTCCCCCACTTAAACTCCTAACATCCTCATTAGATTTGCCCAAAATCTTTTTCTTTGTAATTGTCAATGTGAGATTCGCCTAAGACGTTACAGATACTCCCCACTAGAGGACTCATCATACCCGATAAGATTTGCCTCACCATCCCGATGGTACAAGAATCAACCCTGATACCATTTACAATACCCCAAAGCCCAAAGCAATAAGCTAGCCGATAATTTCATAAACTTAAATAATGATGAAAGTTATTGATAGTCAACAACTTAAGGCTTATAAGAATTTTAAAAATCTCATTTTTTATTAACGTGAAACAAATTGTTGTAATTTATAAATCTAATATTAATAAAATAACACTTTAAAAACTTCCCAAAAAAAAAAGCCTTACAAGATCATGGACATTACAAGTAGCACTTAAAAAGTACCAAAAAGAAACCAAACTCTTGAACTTAAAACAATGAGTTTGGTATTGAAGAGAGAAATGATTCAATGAATGAAAAGGTTAAATAACGTAATCTGCATGATCCAGTTAGGCCCATCCTAATGCCTAAATAGGCCTAAAGTCCATTTAATCATTTATAATCAGGCCCATCATTGTGGCCCATTTTCAGTATTCATTTCATTTTAATGTTTAAAAATTGGAATTTACATGAAAAAGAATCATTTTATTTTGTAACATTACTTTTAAACTTCAAAATTTAACTTGAATATCAAAATCACTTCACCAATAAAATACAAAACATACAACATCAAGTAAACAATAAATGAGGAACAACAAGATGTTTGAACATACTAATTAATGTACCCACAATCTAAAGCAAACAATGGTGGTGTTTGATCGGTTTGAGCTTGACTTCAAATGTCAAACGTACCTAAAGGTCCCAGGTTCAAATCCACAGAGAAATAAAAATCTTTTTGTGGCCACGGAGGTTCAAATGCGGTGACTCCGGGCTATCTGCAAAACAGGTGGTTGTCCTGGGATTAGTCGGCTCACATAGCGGATTGGATATCCAAGTTAATAAATAAAAAAAAAAAACAAGGTTTTTTTTTTTTACAACGTTAGATTCTATTTACGAAAGAGTAATTGGTGTAGTTTAGCATTACTCTGGTTATCGGTCGAGTACATTCTTTCAAGAGGTTAAAGGTTTTAAATCTCACCAAAGGCTAATGTTTATGAAAGGATTACGAAAAAAGTGGATGATAAACTTGGCATTTACGTCATCAAATGATACAAAATGAATAGGTTAACGCTTAAAAAAGTATTAAATAAATTTTTAAAACTTTATTACATTAATCGAGGAAAAACTATTCACAAAATTAAATGAGAAGTAAAGCAAGGCTTATTATGTTATGATTATCTTACCCTAATGAAATTATGATCAACACAACATTTAGTGGTAAAAAATTTGGTGATAAATTCTCTTAGGATCGTTTACCAGATACTTATTATGTAAATAGTTATTCGATGTTACTTATCATGTCGAGTGTGTATGGTAAATACTGAGAATCTTAATAGCATAGTGAGAATCAAAAATCATACCCGGTAAATGAGATAAAAGAGTCTTGCTTAATAGCACTTATCAAGTAAAGAACATGTACCAATAATTTATTTT